CCACTTCGGAGTGTAACATAGCTGTTCAGACTCGGCTGGTGAAGGTTCAGAAGTTGTGGTATTTGTCTTTACTGAGTGAAGTTGCTAGTTTGGCTAACACCAAGCACCGCGTCTACTCGAGAGATTATAACCTGAAAATCGATCACAGATCATGTGTGTGGTTGGCGAGCATTTAGCAGTTGTATCACTGATATACTTCGTACTCATCAGTCGAAAGCATCTTTACATCTTAGTAAGTAGTAGTCTATTCAGCAAGATTGTAACAGCTGAGACATGAGTAATATTGATGTACTCCGCTTCACGATCATATCTCGCAGCCTTCAGTAATCACCGGGAAGAAATTTGAATGTTTGACTGAATATTTTGAAGTACTCCCATTTTAAAAATTTCAATTCAGTCTGAATAAAGTCTTATCTCTTCTACGAATTCCCTTTCTCAGCCTTTACACTCTTATCACTGCAATAATCGACAGTTATGCTGTGGATACATTTTTTCGTAGAATAACCTACAGGTTATGGAGTGAGATAATGATTTGAATTTGTTTGACGAAAGTATTTAGATGAATGAGAAAGCCAAACAAGATGAAGTATTTGATAATGACGATTAGTTATGGCGAGTTTATCAGAAGGGGGAAAGGAAAATTGGTAAATTAGCCGTAGGTTGTGAAAAGTGTCTATTGAGTAGGTAGTAGAGAAATGAAATACATTGAATAGGAGATGGTGAAACAGCAATGTATATTTATTCGAGGAGTAATCAATATTTGTAATGCATGAATGAAGCTGAGTTATATACTTACAAAGGAATGGTATCAGTAAAATGAAATCAGAATCGGTTACTGGTGTCTGCGTAAACAGAAAATTTAAAGGTCTTTTAAGAATGCTTGAATGAAGGGCATCGCGAATACAAGTGTTTGGAGAAGGCTAAAAATAACGTCAGAGGAAGAGACATACTTAGAACAGGGAACTTATAATTCAAGTTTTATCAGGAATTGATTTCAGGTAGATAAGCATTGAAAACTATCAGAAAGCACTGAACAGCTCTTTCCTCCTAGTTTGAGACTCATTGGCAGTACGCATATACCGTGTGTGAGAAGAAATACACAAGACCTCCTGATTACTGGGCAAGCTCGCGGACAGGATTCAGTAGGCCCAAAATCGCACTTGTATTGGTTTCTGAAGCTAGTGCAGACACCCACTGACGTCATTGACGAGTATTTCCCTAAAATCAGACTGGATGCACCCGCTGGATGCGTACTGTCAATAAGCCCCAAAGTAAAGGAAAACAGCTGTTCAGTGTCCACCGGAGGTGCTTCCTGCTTTCCTAGCTGTTACCCAACACTCAACAGTGTCCAAATTGAAAACAAATCAAATTCTTGAAAAAAAAACTGATAAAACCTCGTCATTCAATTTACTTACTTGAGATAAATTTTATGAAAGTGTCCCAAAAGAACGCACAGTTAAGGCCTAATCATTTTTTTTCAGAAAAAGCTTAATGTTCATACGGATAACGTAGGAACTCCGTGCATCAAATTAACTTAGGATTGTGGTATATAACCCAACAGCTATGCTAGTTGACGGTGCGATGTACTGTATCAGCGATGTGACATAACCGAACATTTTATGCATTTGATTTCACCCCTTCTGAAACAGACTGCTAAGTGTTCCCCAATCCATATAATATGATTCATTGAAGCACCTAGAGCGGTAAGTGTCTGAAAGAGATCGAAGATTAGAATGAGCGTAGCTCAAATTCTGGATGAATATTTCCTCGAAATTGAAGGATACAAACAGACATTCAAGTGAACAAAAACAAATAAGTAACTCTGACAACACTCTACTAGTTTAACACACAAATTCGAATTAACTCATGGCTCCACAAGTAATTTCAATATTGTCTCACCTAAAGCTAACCAAATCATGTAGCACACTCACTCTCCAAATTTACTCGATCTAACACTCAGTGAAAAAAGATAATACATACACTCAGTCACCCCATATTCACCTCTTCTCCTCGTCCAATTATCAATTTCGCATTCTCTTGCATGTGTGAATAAAATCAACTCAATTGTATTTGTGATGAGATTTGAAATTTCTCCCTTTGACAAATTATCATCCTAATATTCAAACCACTCTGACGATGCTTCCTCGATGCAGTCAGTCTTCAAATGTTTCCTTTCATCTCATTGATCCGATAAATGTAGTGTATAGTTCACTCTGTTTAATGAACATTTGTCACTCGAGAAATTGATTCTTTCTGATGACGGTTAGCATTCCTTCAGTATTATTGTTGTCATGTAAATATATGACTTCAGTGTCTGTTAAGAGGACAGATGTACTCCATAGTCAACTAAATATGAGGTCAGAATTTTTCTGATGTCGAGTAGAATTCTGTCAAACATTTTAATTTTCCGTTATTCTGAATACGGGATGCAATCATTGAATTTGTCACAGTGGAAATGCTATTTCAAACGAATAATCGGGTGAATTCACAGTTACAGCTTAATAAATACAATTTCCAGATTCAGTCACTATCCCCTACTGTGTTAGAAACTGTCTTTTATCAAAAATGCTCCACATGATTTTGTGCGTGAGGACTTGACAGACCGACAATCTAAACATCCGTTTGAGGGAACGTAACAACACGGAAAATATCCACCTGATGTCCTTCGGATGACATCATTGAACTGGCACTCGACACATAACGAACCCTCATTGGAAATACGTTAGTTATTTGAACATTAACATATTGACATGCAGATGGAATACTGGCGGTTGAGACTGGTCTGATGTCATCGACATGTCTAACAAAAGTGAATGATGATATGCGATAAATTATTTCGAAGCTATTCTAGCAGTAACATTCTATGATGCTTCGTGTTGTGCATCTCACAAATTTACCTCTTTTCGTCTTCACATGCAAATGCAGCAATTACCATTCTGTCACTGAGTTAGTCGCTGTCACCATGTGAAGGTTCACTGATTAACATCTAGCCACAATTGATGATCCTAAATTCGCATCTCATATTCTTATGTTACATGAGTCATCATATCACTTTGGTTATCGAATGAGGTAGATTATAGTGTGACTTCAATCCGTGCACGATAATCCAATGTCATAGAAGTGTTACTTTCGAAACCATCGAAACGCGATTTGTCGTATCAAATGCACAAATGTTTGCACTCTGTCTGTAGGAAGATAATTGAGAAAGTGGACTGGATTTATCCGAATGGCGCAGTGATGGCCGTTTGAATTTAATTACGACATGTATACGTTATGTGAGATTCAATTTATTTACTCCACCAAACAATAAATCTCATTCAACCATCTCTCTGACTGATTGATTCCTCAATTCCTCACATTTTAGATAACTTCAGTTGACTAAAGTCTGAATATGTTGACACTGCCTACCATGTCATGATTCCTGTCGATGTCGACGAGCACTTTGACCTCGAGCAGCACAAAATCACCACTAAGAGCACCCTTCTTAATACTCTTGGCACTAAGGAACTATAAATATCATGAATTTCAGTCAATCCACAAAGAAGTGGTTCTCTGAGTCCCATAGATTTTAAACAGTTCATCTTCCGCTATTTATAGTATTCAAACTGGACTGGTCTACTAGTTTATTTTATGTTTACCTTTCAAATTTTAAAATATTATTTGATAGAACGTCTGTCGCTAATACGTCTTCACCACAAGGAACGCATAACATTTTCTACTTATGATCATATCGAGTCCACAGGACTGCAATGGATAGTTTGCAATGAACCAACATAATTTCATCACATCTATGCTTCATTTCCCTTCGGGATTTTTGTGTTTCTCGAGGATAAAGTGCTCGTCGACATCGACATGAATCATGACATGGTAGGCAGTGTCAACATATTCAGACTTTAGTCAACTGAAGTTATCTAAAATGTGAGGAATTGAGGGAATCAATCAGTCAGAGAGATGGTTGAATGAGATTTATTGTTTGGTGGAGTAAATAAATTGAATCTCACATAACGTATACATGTCGTAATTAAATTCAAACGGCCATCACTGCGCCATTCGGATAAATCCAGTCCACTTTCTCAATTATCTTCCTACAGACAGAGTGCAAACATTTGTGCATTTGATACGACAAATCGCGTTTCGATGGTTTCGAAAGTAACACTTCTATGACATTGGATTATCGTGCACGGATTGAAGTCACACTATAATCTACCTCATTCGATAACCAAAGTGATATGATGACTCATGTAACATAAGAATATGAGATGCGAATTTAGGATCATCAATTGTGGCTAGATGTTAATCAGTGAACCTTCACATGGCGACAGCGACTAACTCAGTGACAGAATGGTAATTGCTGCATTTGCATGTGAAGACGAAAAGAGGTAAATTTGTGAGATGCACAACACGAGCATCATAGAATGTTACTGCTAGAATAGCTTCGAAATAATTTATCGCATATCATCATTCACTTTTGTTAGACATGTCGATGACAACAGACCAGTCTCAACCGCCAGTATTCCATCTGCATGTCAGTATGGTAATGTTCAAATAACTAACGCATTTCTAATGAAGGTTCTTTTCCCAGTCAGCATGCAGGAAACCCGCGTGATGTTAAAGCGTTTCCTGGGCATCAATCAATCGAACAAGTCACTCATCATCAACAACATTGGGAATGTCCCTGACTAGACTCCACTGGCCATAAAGGCTCCAACAATAGCGGTATTATTTTGGAACCGTCTTAGCTTTCGTCATCAATTGCTTTCATAAATGCACAGAGAGAAAGAGGTTGCTAGCTGCATTCAGTTCACGACAATTATCTGTGCATTAATCATTAGATTATTTCGAGAGCGATAGTATTTATTTTTAGTTTACAATAAATGTTAATCATAGCAACAAATACCAGTTCGAAGTGGAGAGGGAAATGTCGTTCCACATAGTCCCGAATCATGCTTCCACATCATAACACATCATCAATGACTGTGGAAATGGAAACTTTCCTCATATCACGGACAATAGTAACACATGCGGCGGTAACCATAAGGATAAATGACACGTCGATAACGTCGTCGGCGGTGATGACGACGTCGATGCGAACGATTTCCAATGTGATTCCCACCGCCGCCAAGATAACGATATCCTGCTTGAAGTAGCCGCGGCTCTGAATGAGAGTTCAACAAATCCCCTCCATTGCGATGACGGTGACGACAACGGCGTTCTCCACTTCTGTTCAAATCGTCATAGTCATCAGTATCATCACAATCATCATCGTCATCATCACTATCATTATCTCCACCATCATCGTCATCATCACTATCATTATCTCCACCATCATCGTCATCATCACCATCATTATCATCACCGTCTTCGTTATCATCACCACCGTGAGAATCATTATCATACAGATGACGAAGTAGTTCACCCACTCCACCCACATCCATCGAAGTCAAGTCACTGTCGCCAATGCTGTCTGTGGTGTTCGGAGTTTCACTGGCTGCTCCATCACCTGTGTTCGTGTCCGAATATTCTTCATCATCGCATCACTGAGTCCAATCCAGTTTTGCTGCAGCTCACGACACACATATCACAATGCAAATACACACACGAGTTTTCATGTCGTCTACACCTAGGGGAATACATAATTTGAACAATATAATTTCCACGATGATATCTCAGGACAAGCTGAAGATGGTGAGTAACTGTCTGCGTTCAATCTGTAACTATTGCTAAAATCAAGTCAGAGAGTTATGCGAAGGAAAAGTGGAAGCGCTTCAGATAAACAGAACAGTGAGTGCATGCGCAATCGACCATCAATACTCAGTCACATCCTCCCATTCCATTCCTCAATCAGCCACTTCACTCCTGTGCAACCCCACAATCTGTAATGAGAAAATGAAGCACAAGCACAATTAACAACATATCCCGTCTTTCATCACACAATTTCCAACACACATATAAACCAGTCAAACACCACGCGTATACTCAATCTCTCACTGATTATCGCTAAATCAACATCTATTTCGATTAGTTGATGACCAACATTTTCGACAGGCAACCAGTGACATGATGATAAAGTCTCACTGATTTATGCGTACGCTATTCAACATGTTTTCAATATGTGACTATTTCAGTGAGGTGAATGTGACAATAAACATACCCAATGTAGCCTAGTTACTGACTGACTCTGTCCTGAGATATTCACTGCTGTATGTAGGTGGGTAGGTAAGTATCTAGGTAAGTTGATGATATCTGAGTTGACTAGAACAACTCGGAATCTGACATATAAATTCACATAAATACAAAGCAGTTCTCAGTGATCACTCATTGTCTGCACATCACATATGAATAAATTGCCAAATATACGGTGTTGGTCACTCACACTGATAGGCATTAATCATCATACGAAAGCCAGTCGATTGGATGGTGGTTAAGTCGAAATTGTGTAGCAAACTTGATACTTTCGGAGGAGGTCGATAAGAGGTAATATGAATCAGTTAGGATGGTGGATTAGAGGCGACTTCTTAAGAGCGACTAACTCAGTGACAGAATGGTTATAGCTGCTATTATATATGAAGACAAAGAGAGGTAACACTGTGAGATGCAAATCACCATGAGAGTTTAGGCAGAATGCAATAATGTCCTTAATTTGGCAGAATATGGAGATTTCCGGTTAGGAGACAGTTGAGTGGTTACTGACATAAGCACTTTGACACATATTGTAATCGTAGAGAGAATAACATCGACATAAACCCTCAATAATAGCCGATACAGTTAAAGACAATTAACACCTAAAGTACATGTTTCACGAAGTCACGATCTGAGGTCATTCAAGGACAATGCTAAGTATGTGTGCAATGGAAGTGTTCGGGTGAATATCATAACTGATTATAGTGACACTACTACTATGTGATACACGCACTCATGAGGTCATTAACTCGATCACATGTACAAAGAAGTGATCTTTTGAAAAATTGGTTCCCAACAAACACACATGCAGCCAGAAATCCGTTAGGATCTATGGTGTAAATAAACTAGCACCCTACGAAAAAACTACCTAATTCTGCTCTAGCATAGTTGACGGTCTCCTCTAAACAGCTGCCTTCAAATTGTAGAAAGTTGTGGTGACATTGAATGCATAACATTACAATTAATCCCCACACGGTAAGGGCTAACTCCCGGACATCATTTCGAATATTTGAAGCACAGCTCATGCTGCATCAAAAATGCGTGTCTGTATTTGTGACCGATCTACACAGTTGAGAGACAGTCACATAATTCGTGATTTCCAGAGGAAACTACGCGTCACTTCCAGATTTGTGTAGTTACCACGCTAATACGTCATTCTTTCTGTTATCATTAGCTGTTTGGCCTACACACCTCATGGATGGTAGCAGCTAGCTTACGAATGATTCTGTGCGAATACAAAAATTGGGCTCAGAATATTTCAAAGTCTCGTTCACCGCTTCAACCGATTTCAAATGCATGCACATTCAACACTAGAGATTGATTGAAACGTTCAAGTGGACAGCGTCATCCATTTCAGACAAAACCATTTCAAAATTTATCATGTCTTATCAACTTTCGCAGGCAAGCGTCTGATAACCATTGAAAGGAGGCAATTGCAAGAATTGACGAGAACTGGTCAAACTGGTTGCGTAGTACACACAATGCCTACAGATAACCTAACTCAGGAGATAGTGGAACGCAATGCCCTATAGCATAATTGGCTGTCACATCTTACTTTTGTATGGGATGCGTTAGTCTCTGGTTATCTTCGTTAGCTATGTCACCTATTGCCATATTTAAAACACCTCTTAAACTACAAAAGCCTGATTGGTTTCACATGGAATTTTTCTGTCCTAATTTGGACCATTCCAATGAGGCTTGAAAAATTATGAGGTGATGTGAGTGGTTGCCTAATATGCTCAGGCTCAAGAGTCGAAATGCAGTTGTCGCCACTGACATCGTCGAGGAACTTGCTTTCCGATGTTGAGGGGCCAGGATCTCAGCTAAACCAGTACTCTACTGACGACTGCCATTTTGCATCCTCAACATATTTCTACGCACATAGAAGTACAAATCAAGAGATATGCTTTCTGTTTAGCAGTCTCACGATTTAAGACAACATCTGGGTCTGCTACTACGTAAATCACGTTTAAAAATTAACAACACATGTGATAAATGTGGAATTCTGATCCAAGACTAATAGGTGATTATTTTAAGGACAAACCTCACCTAAAGTACATGTTTCACGAAGTCACAATCTCGGGTCATTCGAGGACAATGCTGAGTATGTATGTAATCAAAGTGTTCGGGTGAATATCATAACTGATTGTAGTGACACTACTACTATGTGATACACACTCTCATAAGGTGATCCACTCGACCACAAGTGCGAATATATAAGCACGAGTATGTGATCGAGTTTCGTGTCGATTTAACTGCTTGTGAGGTTGATTTCGAGCATTCGAGTACGTGAACACATAGAGAGCCGGTAAGTGTATGCACTGTGTGAGTAGACGATAGTCGCTCTCACCAATCACTGCTTTTGCCGTTCCCTTCATATCTATGTTCATAAAATCATTACCATCACACACGACATGTGAACTCCTCTCATGCCCACATCTTTCCTCCCCAACAGAACCACAATGCGGATTTTCGTCGCGTTATTGTTGGGTCTGGTGTTCCATCAACATGTGTTGGGAGAACCGATACCTGTCGATTGGAGTGATCAAGGTAGGTAGATATGTCTGTCTGTGTCTGTGGATGTATGTGCTTGTGTGAGTTTGCCAACCATGCCGCTGACAATGTGCACACAATGATAGATCGATTCGCGTTGGTGTATATTTGCCAGAAATTATGAGTGTACATCTGGGAGGTGGTGATTGAACTTTTCTACGATAGCATATATTTATACATATATATGGACAGTAGGTAAATAAGAGAAATAAATAATTTCCAAATGAAGATAGTGCTACAGCGAACATCTCAGTTAGTACATGAGGTTCATTCATTGAAACAGGCAAACATTGGAAAGTAGATTGACGGGAATACAAGTGAGAGGAATATTTCGGTCGTGCTATTGGTTGCCAGTGGAATGTGGTGACTGTACACTCAGCTGAACGGTAGTCACTTTGCATGTAACACAGGAAGACTGGGTATGTGTGTGTTCACTGGTTGGCTCATTCATGTTTGTACTGGAATGTGTCTGATGGAGCATTCGGAATGTTGTCGATGATCATGCCTTTTTCTTCTTCCCACTACAGTACCGGTTGTAACTCAACAAGGAGGTAATGGAGAGGGCAAGATTGTGGGAGATGGCGTGACCAGTGCTCCCCTGCCCACTGCAATATTTCCATTAGACGGTACTGGTGACACCATGGATAAGGATGATGGAGAATATTCGGACACGAACACAGGTGATGGAGCAGCCAGTGAAACTCCGAACACCACAGACAGCATTGGCGACAATGACTTGACTTCGATGGATGTGAGTGGAGTGGGTGAACTACTTCGTCATCTGTATGATAATGATTCTCACGGTGGTGATGATAACGAAGATGGTGATGATAATGATGGTGATGATGACGATGATGGTGGAAATAATGATGGTGATGATGACGATGATGATTGCGATGATACTGATGACGATGACGATTTGAACAGAAGTGGAGAACGCCGTTGTCGACACCGTCATCGCAATGGAGGGGATATGTTGAACCCTCGGACTAGTATTTGTTGCTATGATTAACATTTATTGTAAACTAAAAATAAATACTATCGCTCTCGAAATAATCTAATGATTAATGCACAGATAATTGTCGTGAACTGAATGCAGCTAGCAACCTCTTTCTCTCTGTGCATTTATGAAAGCAATTGATGACGAAAGCTAAGACGGTTCCAAAATAATACCGCTATTGTTGGAGCCTTTATGGCCAGTGGAGTCTAGTCAGGGACATTCCCAATGTTGTTGATGATGAGTGACTTGTTCGATTGATTGATGCCCAGGAAACGCTTTAACATCACGCGGGTTTCCTGCATGCTGACTGGGAAAAGAACTCTCATTAGAAATGCGTTAGTTATTTGAACATTAACATATTGACATGCAGATGGAATACTGGCGGTTGAGACTGGTCTGATGTCATCGACATGTCTAACAAAAGTGAATGATGATATGCGATAAATTATTTCGAAGCTATTCTAGCAGTAACATTCTATGATGCTTCGTGTTGTGCATCTCACAAATTTACCTCTCTTCGTCTTCACATGCAAATGCAGCAATTACCATTCTGTCACTGAGTTAGTCGCTGTCACCATGTGAAGGTTCACTGATTAACATCTAGCCACAATTGATAATCCTAAATTCGCATCTCATATTCTTATGTTACATGAGTCAGCATATCACTGTGGTTATCGAATGAGGTAGATTATAGTGTGACTT